TCAGTTGCACACTTGAGTCGCCATGTAAACAAACGCACGTGCGTGTATTTGAATCTCTCACCGTCCATGGCATTATCCTTACTAAAAACTACACAGGAGGCAACAGAAGTCTGTTAGCTACTTTAGTATGATCCCATTTCGTTTTAAGGTCACAGTGGTTATGTTTCGTTTTATCTTAAATCATGATTTTGGAATGTTTCGTTTTCTCTCTCTCTCAAGTGGTATCACCATGTTGTCAATGTGACAAACCTGGAATTAAAAGTATGGACCAAGCTCTGTTTTGTATGGAGACTATTGCAGCTACGTTCTTTGTACTTTCAATATGACAATATATATTTTCATGATTTTTTAAACAATGGCATAATGCCATAAACGATTAAAGTACTCGGGATTATTTGTATCAAAGCACCGCATTTATTCCGATTGGTTTGTCGTATTTTCGCACATAATCGAGATGGGGACGAGTCTTCTTGGAGGTTACAGAAAGCGGCGAGTGGTGACGAATGACATGCTATCATCACTAGATGTAAATCACTGACTGGTCCAGACTCTTTACAGAACAACCGTTTTACAACTGGAATATTGCTGACTGCAACATAACACAACTATTGGTTACATTTAATTTGGTTGTCAGTTTGAATTTGAAGAGTGGCTTGAATTTGAATTTGGACTTGATGAGGTCATTGGCCATTCAAATATTGTACATGGGTATTTATCGAAAGATCAGGTTCTTCCCATTTGTACATCTTGTTGTGAAAGAATGAAGGTTGACAAACTTCAGTTTGTTGATGTCACCATCACAAGCGATAAGTATATGTGAGTGTAACACCACAATAACGTCACTTTTTTGTGTTAATATATACTCTCCTATAAAAGAAACGAATATTGGAATTTCAACTGTATTTTTATGTTTATTTTGAAACATCTTGTAGGCTTTATGAGTCAATGAAATATAGCGATATTGCACACTGGGAATGCAGACTTATCCGTCTTTGGCACCAACTCGAGGAAAGTCAGTTTGAGTGTCACATGGAGACGTGTGGTGGCGCTGAAGTCAATACCTCGTGTGACCACCGTGGGCATCAAGAACTGCACGGCATCGCCTCGGCATCGAACGAATAAGTCTCAGAATCTTGTGTTGCCCAATCGCAGCCCACTCTGCCTGTAGTGCCTGTGCGAGTTGCTGAAGTGTCTGGGGCTGAGGGTTACGGCATCTGTCCAGGGCATCCCACAGATGTTCGATCGGGTTTAATTCCGGTGATCTTGAGGGCCAGGGGAGCACATTGATGTTGTGGTTCTGGAGGAAGTCTCTAGTGTGACATGCTGTGTGGGGCCTGGCATTGTCCTGTTGAAACAACTCTGGCGATCAATGATTGGAAGGAGGTGTGGGTGTAGGATTTCGTCACAGTACCGTTGAGCTGTCAGGTTGCCAGTAGTATAAATTTAAGAGCTTCGGAACCTCAATTGAGGCTCTGACCTAAAAACATCATCCTTAAATAGGCTTTCTGACGTCATAGCGCACTTCCTGACCCTAATCTACACCAGATGTGAGTCTCTGACGTCCTTCGACCTTTGGAAATGAATACCTCACACACCTGTGTCAACAACATCCATCTAATTTTAGTTCATTGTCGCCCACACGCTGTCTCCACTCCCATCTGACATCATATAATGCACCTAATAGCATCATTGATGCACCCAATGACTTTCTTTTCTTTTTTTTTTTTTTTTTTTGGGGGGGGGGGGGAGGTAATGCACCTAATAACATCATAGATGTACGTAATGACTTTCTATTTTGGGGATTCATCGTCGCCCACACCTCGTGCACCCGATAACATCGTCGATGTACCTTATGACTTTTCTATTTTAAAAAATATTTTTTTTGCTTCATCATCGCCCACACCTTCGTCTCCACTTCCAGATGCCATTTATATTTGTTTTGGATTCAAATCTTAGACATAGTATAAAACCTTTGGAGTTGTGATCCCAACCTCACATTCATCTCTGAGCCTCATCAGAAACCATACACAACTCAACACGACCTCAGTTCTATTTTAGGAGTTTGGATATTTTCAAGCTGAACGGACACATTCTTTACAGTGGAAGGTAAGAATCTTTCATATTTTCTTGTCTAATAAACACATGTTGAAGTTCAGGTTCAAATGATGAATATCTTCTGACAAATTGATGTCTTTTTACCTTTGTTTTTTTTTTTTCATTCATTTCAGAGTTTTCACCTATTCATCTACATTCGTTTGCTAGACCTTATTAACTGCTTAATTTGTACCATTATTGTAAGTGTAAATTTAATACTAAATAAACAAAAAAAAGCAACCAAAATGTTTTCTTTAGAATTTAATGCCATTCAAAGCAACTGGGTTTACATTATAGAACATTTGGAAACCTCACCCTTTCTCGATGTTTTGTTTGAGAAGGGGATGATTTCATTTGCTCATTATTCTAGTGAAAGATCAACTTTTGAACAAATTGGCAGGAGAGAATCGAATCGGAACTTAATGAGCTTTCTCCTCAAACATAGTTATTTCCGACAAGTGATAGATGCTTTCAGAAGATCACATCATGATGATATAGCAGACAGGATTAAGCAGTCTTTTCAACAGAATGACCAATAATTAAAAAAAAATACAACATTTAATATCAAAGTGATTATAATTAGTGTTTATTTGTAATTAAGAAGGTCATTTTTCAAATTCTGTTGAATCATCACATCACATCACATCACATCACAGCTCTGAAAGATAGAAAATTGTATTTATTGTTTCAACATATTTTTCAGAGAGGCATAATCGTTCATCCAATGAGCAGTGTTTGCTAGACTGTTGTTTAAAAAAATATATAAAATAAAAAAATGTCTACCCCATTTACAAAATCTGTTTACAAATGTGAGTTTTGTCAAAAGGAACATAGTTACAAAAATTCGCTTGTGAGGCATCATAGAAACTGTGGACCTTTTGTAGAAAATCATGCCTGTCACATCTGTGAGTCATCTTTTCCACGTAGAGATAATTTGCTGAGACACACACGAACTCACCAGCACAACACACGAAATGCATCTTCCTCGCAAAACCTTTACTTGTAATACATGTTCAGAAAGGTTCCACACACTAAAAGCTCTCATCAATCACACAAGGCAATCACATTCAAATCACCAGCAAAGTGGTGGAGGATCAGCTAAACGTAGGAAACCCAATGCAAATAATCAACAGTCATGCTCTAGGGAAGCACTGAATGGGAATGTTAGGGAATTTAATTTCATTCCTCAGGGTCAAGAAGGGAACGATCCCTTCTATTACTTTGTGAAAATGCAGCCTGAAATTATTCAACATCTAAAGTCTGAAATTGAAGTGAAACAGTCCATCAAATGGGGACTTTGTACTCAATTTAGATTTAGCAAAACCAACGCGGATGGTCAAATTACTTATTCAGAGCCTTACTTTAGAACCAAAATGTCTCCAGTGACACAAGCGGATGACTTGAATGCATTGTACACTGAAGCCATACATACATTAATGAAACTGATGGACAATTATGAGGGCGATAGTTCAAACTTAAATTTTGAGACCGTGATGAGTGTTAAATTATCTGTGGTGAAATTTCAACCTTTTGGTGGAAGTTCATACCTCCCCTTCCCCCCATCATTAGAGCAAAAGCGTTGCTTGTTAAACATCAAGAACGTGGATGATGACATGTGTTTTGTGTATTGCGTTTTGGCTCATCTGTTTCCCGTTGAATCTAATCTCATCAGGGAACAAGTGACTCACTACTCAGATAAAGTAGAGCAGTTAAACCTAACAGGCTGTTCATTTCCCATGAGACTCAATCACATTTCAAAATTTGAAAAAACAAACAACGTAAGTATTAACGTCTATGGTTTGAATGAAGATGAGAAACAACCCATCGTCTTTCCTTTACGAGTCAGTCCAATAACTTCTGAAGTACCCAAAGATCGTCACATCGATCTACTTCTGTTAACTCAAGAAGTAGAGGAGGACGATGAACCACCACTGTCTCATTATGTTCTGATCACTAGTTTGACAGGTTTGATCAGGAAAGCTGTAGACACTAACAGTAAATTCATTTGTCGAAAATGTTTATGGACATTTGCTTCTGAACATGCTTTGGTAAAACATGTTCCCTACTGTCATCACCAGGCGCAACGAATTAAAATGCCTGAACCAAACAAAGCGTTTCGAACATTTGGCTTGGGACAGTACAGTAAAATGAATAAAGTACCTTTTGTGATCTATGCAGATTTCGAGTGTGTTTTGGCTCCTCTAGAACATGATGAGACAGCAGGTCAAAATCAACATATCCAAAAACACATTCCCTGTGGGTACAGTTATCAAATAGTGTGTAGGGAACCAGATCTCTATTCTTTTCCACTGAGAACCTATAGTGGGGAACAGACTGCAGAACATTTCATGACACACCTTTTGGACGATTACGATCAGATCATGGACATTTTAAACCATCCTGTCCCCATGAAATTGACACATGAAGAAAGGTTAGCTTTAGAGTTGGAAACCCACTGCTATCTTTGCGGAGAGGAAGTACGAGATGGTGAGAGACACATCGATCACGATCACCTGACCGGTCAAGTCAGGGGTCTGTGCCACAATTCATGCAATGTCAATTTCAAAGAATCCACATTCGTGAATGTTATTTGTCACAATGCCTCTCGATACGACAATCATTTGATCCTTCAGGCTGCCGAATTATTTGCTGATCGCAAATTGACGTGCATAGCTCAAAATTCTGAACACTTTATCATGTTTCAAATTGATCACCTGCGTTTTTTAGACAGTTACAAATTTTTGAATACCAGCTTGCAAACATTGGCAAACAACTTGAGAAGTAAAGGTCAAGAGGAATTTGTCTATGTGGCAAAGAACTATCCCGAACATGTGACTTTGTTGACACAAAAACTACCGTACTGTTACGAACACGTAAACACATTTGAAAAATTAGACCAAACAGAATTTCCGAGTCGTGATGACTTTTATTCCTCTTTAAGTGAAGATACCATTTCGGAAGAAGAATATGCCTTTGCTCAACACATTTGGCAGACTTTCAAAATCACATCCGTGAGAGAATTCATGGAACTGTACGTTGCTGTTGACACTTTGATTCTAACCGATGTGTTTGAAGCATTTCGCGACATGTGTCTGAGCTACTACAAACTCGATCCGTGTCAATACTACACCCTCCCTGGTATGGCTATGGATGCATGTCTCTTGATGACAGGGGTGAAACTAGATCTCATGACCTATCCAGACATGTACAATTTTGTCTCCAATGCGGTAAGAGGGTGTGTGGCTAGTATCAATCATCGATACGCCCAAGCCAACAACGAACACATGTCCGATTTCGACCCATCCAAACCCGAATCCCATCTGATGTATTATGACATTAACAATTTGTATGGCGCCGCCATGAGTTGTCCTTTACCACGAGGCGATTTTGAATGGGTAGATGAAACAGAGGTAGATGCCATTAACTGGATGCAGGTAGACCCCGAAGGCACGGTAGGTTACGTTGTAGAGTGCGATTTGGAATATCCACGTCATCTTCACGCTGCCCATCAGTCCTTGCCCCTCGCTCCCACCAAAGAAAGCATTCCTTTCGACGACTTGTCACTTTATCACCGAAACTTGCTCGCAGAGTTAGGTTTGTTGGGGAAGAAAGATGAGAAGAAGCCACCCACGGGGACCAAACTGTTTTCAACCCTGAAAGACAAAGAGAATTATGTCATTTATTTCGGAACTTTACAGCTATACTTGCGATTGGGTTTGCAACTGACAAAAGTACACAGAGTATTGAAATTTACTCAATCCAAATGGATGAAGCCTTATATTGACTTTAACACACAAAAACGAAAAGAATCCACAGATGACTTTTCGAAAGATTTGTTCAAATTGCTTTCGAATGCTGTGTACAGGAAACAACTACAAAATGTAAGAAATTACAAGCATATTGAATTAATCACCACCGAAGAAAGACTGAGAAGGTTCACGGCAAAATGTAATTTCAAAAGTGTTAATATTTTTTCTGAAAATTTGGTCGTGGTGAGCATGGAGAAAGTGTGTGTGACTCTGAATCAAAATGTGAGCGTTGGATTCACGATCCTGGAGCACGCTAAAAGGCTTCTCTATGATTTCCATTATAATGTCATGTTAAAGGAGTACACTAGCGATCAGGTCAGGGTCCTCATGACAGACACAGATAGTTTGTTTTATCAAATTTGGTCCCCTGCGGGTACTGCTCTTCGCGATCCTCAAGAGTTCATGTTAGCGAACCTCCACCTCTTTGACACTTCAAACTACTCGAAAGACCACTCGCTTTATTCCATGGAAAGACACAAGGTCATTGGCTTGATGAAAAATGAAGTAGGTGGTAAGACAATCAGAGAGTTTGTTGGACTTCGACCCAAGAACTATAGTTTCATTTTTGACAAAACTCCCAGTGAACAGGTCGAGAAGCGCACTGCCAAAGGTGTTCAAAAAAACTTTGTCAAAAAACATCTTCGTCACCAGATGTACAAAGACTGTCTTTTCAAACACCAACAAAATATGTCCACTTATCATCAGATTCGATCAATTCACAATACGCTTTACACAGACAAAGTGACAAAAATAGCCTTGACTCCTCAGGATGATAAGCGATACCTCTTGGCAGATGGTATTACATCACGACCGTATGGATTCAAACCTCTTTAGAACTTTTTCGATACATTTCCAATATTTTTTCAGAAAATTCCTTTAAAGAACAAAAAAATAAATACATAAAATCCCTAACTCTAAGTAGATTAAGAGTCTAGCAAACATGGATGATACCACGAACCTCGAACACCCTGCATTCCTGATATGTGAAAAGGTATTTCTTACAACATTAGTTATCTATTTGAACAACAACGTTAATAAATAATGCAAGAAAAAAATATATATACAAGTGTTTATTATAAAGTAACAATCCTAACAAATTTATTCACCTATTTCTTTTTTTATATCTTTTTTATTTTATTGTTTGCTTTTTATAGGATGAGTAGAAATCTGAGATACCGCTACAGGGTGACTGGAAGAAATGGACAATTAGTGAGACAAGGAAGAACACTACGAGGGAGTCCTCTTGCAGCCTGTCTTGCCGGGGTTAGACATCTCGAGATGACACTGAGACGTCAACTGTCCACACCAACGGTCAGAGCGGAAGCATACCACTCACCCTTCACCATAACCACCCAAGAGGTCACCGTGGAACAACGAGCTGCAGCAGCAGCAGCAGCAGTAACATGTGATAATACTGGTGCTAACACAATTGTCACTAGACTGTTATTCGATTGTGTGCTCGAATCCGCATATCTGGATGAACTTCAAGAGAAGGTTCATCAGTTGTGTAACAGACATTGTTATGGGTGTGAAACTGACCATCCATCACAGGTTCATCACCCATGTCTAATGATGGACGATGATGAGCGAGTTGAATGTTATTTCGATGAAGCATTGGCGGAAATGCCACATCAGACCATTCTCGCAAGCGCTAGAGAGCGAATGAAACCAACCGCACTTCAAATTGAGGGGATCGCTCAGTATGAAAATATTGACTATCTGAACAAACATTTCTTCACATCCACTAGAAAAGAAGAACTGAGAGTCAGACTTAAAGAGAAAATGAAGGAAACTTAGAGTGTGTTCACTATTATGTTAACTATTTTGTACTCATCTGCATGTGTGTGTTGATGATATTAATCATGAGTGTAAAAAGTATTTTGTCAACAAGATATTCAGCTCATTGTATAATTTTCGAAACAAAAACAAAAAATACATCAATAAAGTATGTTTTTATATCCAATTTCTTGTTGGTGTATGTCATTCCTTGTGTTATGAACATGATTTCATCATGGATCCAATTATTTATGATTTTAGTAAACACGTGATAAACAAAAAGCCTATCAACCCATGAATTTTCAACCACTTACAGGAACCAACATTGAAATATTCAAAACAATAAAAAAGTGTCAACAGTTACACAGTTAGATCCAATCATTTATGATTTTAGCAAACACGTGATAAACTTGAAACCTATCAACCAGTGAATTTCAAATACGTCAACAACATAACATACACACATACACACGCATTTGCGCCTAAAAGTCATTTCATCGACTAGCCCTTAAAGACAGAAGTTGTGCTTGTAACACGGTGTATCATGTCAGCAAGGTTTGTGCATTTTGTTTTCTTTTTCTCATTTTTGAAAACGAAGAGTGTTTAGCAGTTGAATTGAAGCATTGGTGTCACACAGAGAATGTTATTTGTAAACTAAACATTAGGAGTCTTGGGAGGAGGGAGTTGCAGTGACCTTACCAAGAAGGTGGGACGAGTTGATTTGTTTAGACAAAGGGGAGCTTCCGATAACTTGATAGTTTTCACGATGTAATGTTTACTCATTGTATATGGAGCTAGAGAGATTGGGTGTGTCAATAAATCGTATTGCAGTGGAATTATTTTTATCACAATGTGTCAAACGTATGCTGCTCAAACACTAGCGACCACCTGTCACCCCATTTTTCTGATAAGTTCATAGTTTTATAGACATTAGGTGTACATATTGATCGATACCATGCCATGGTAATATAAAAAGCAATAAACCATGAGTCATGGTTTCATAAGCATGGAAGACACCGTAGAGGCACAACCGCTAGATAGGACTAGGTCTATAGAGTCCTGGAGACTATTTGGTAGAATCGTATCAAAGACAGAAACCGTATTTTTTCTCAAATTTGTATTATCTATATCGTTGTGATTACCTGCATTGTTAACTTATCCCTGGATAAAGAAAACTCAAATGTATGGATAGCATTGTTGGGCAGCTGCTTGGGGTATCTACTTCCTAACCCTAAAATTAAGTCGCGATTGTCACGGTCAGTGTGAAAGATAACTCAACCACTCCAGTTGATATGGCTGTTGACTTTGGAAATGAATCAATCAGAGGAGATTAGTGTTCATGCAAATGAGAAGATCCAATTGGCAGAAAACCGGTGTTCGTCCAGCTCTCATCTTGTGCAGCATCTTGTGCAGATACCATGAGACATACGTGAAATGGTTTGTATTCGGTACAAAACTATGAATAATATCATTTTAACCAGTTGGAAATTGATAAAAAAAGAAAAAAAAAAAGGGACGTCAAGATGATCCTGAGCGTGTTCATGAACTTTTCTACACTTCGGAAGCATATATATTTTTATTATATAAACAGTGATGATCGAGCACCTTCTACACTTGTCTGATGAGAGTCCTGAAAGAGTCCATCATAACGCAATCCAATGAATGGTTCCAAGACAGACGTGAATGTTTGAAGGATGCGAAGAGAAAATTTCAGGACGAACACAAAGCTACCCAACGAGTGATCGTAAAAAAGTCCAGGAAAGTGGCTGCTGTGTGTGCAGACGAAGTGGTCATGGTGAATCAACTAAAACATGCAGAGGCACTTCTGACTTTGTGTTACAGTTTCGAGGTCACGAAGATCGTGAGACGACTTTCGTGGGAACTGTGTTTTGGGTGCATGTTTGACGAAGAACTAGTCCATACTTGTCGCGACCTGTCAGAACAGGAGCAAGTGGACAAGTACTTTAACGCTGCCATGACCGAGGTGAACGATGATCACGTGATTGACAGATGGATGAACTTGCTAACTGATGACTCATCCTTGAACACGGTCACTGCTTTCAGTTTGGTTCCCTTTCAGTGCAAAGATTATCGTGACTCACAGTTTAAAACCACGGAATGGGTTCATGATTTGAAATCGCGTGTGCATAAGATGTTATTTTTGGAAAACAGATTTAAAACGGACAAATGTTGATACATATGAATCTTCCTATAGGTAAAAAGACTTTCAAAATGATGTATGTCTGATGTATAGCAAGAGAATGCTTAAGAGTCAATAAACTACACATGTATAGTCTTTGCTGTTGTGTTATATATGATTATATATGTTTATATATATTTACCCTTTGCCATGTCTTGTCGCAGTCCATCATGAGTTCTCAACGGAGGAACAAGACATCCATAAGGAGGCACGAGAAAGCATTATCGGAGTATTATTATAACCCCACCAAACCAGGGGCTTATTATGGACCCTCCAAACTACGCGATGTGTTAAAGGCGAACAGACCAGCCAACGTTAAACTAAGAAAGGTCAAGTGGTTTGTCAAGAACCAAGATGCTTACAGTTTACACAAACCAGTCAGGCATAAATTCCAACGCATGAGAGTGAGGGTTAATTCCGTCAATGAGATGTTTGACTTAGACCTCGCCGATCTTTCACGCTACAGCAAAGTGAATCAGGGTGTACGTTATTTGCTTGTGGCTATTGACATACTAAGTAGGTATGCATTTGTTTTTCCCCTGTCAAACAAAAGGCCCGAATCTGTCTTGAGTGCTTTCAAACAAATCCTCAAGCAACGACGTCCTAGGAAAGTGCGAGTGGACGGCGGAAGTGAATTTAAGGGTGTATTCAAGACGTTTTTGCAAAAACAAAAGATAAAACTCACCACAGCCTGCAATGAAAACATAAAAAGTAATTACGTGGAACGTTTTAACAGGATGCTGAAATCGTTGATCACGCGGTACATGACCCGTAATAACACCAAACATTATCTGGACGCTCTATCGGGTTTAGTGAACAACTACAATCATACCCCACATTCGTCTTTACCCCAACTCTCTCCAGCACG